AAGCATAGTAAATGGCCGAGAAGAACCACAGTCAGCGAGGCTGTCGTCCCGTGAGAACTTCGATGATGTCCGCAGTGCGACATCGCCGCTTTCTGAAAGCTTCACTTCCAATGACCTGCCGTTATGAATCCACGATGACACTGCCTTGTCAAGCAAAATATTCTGGCCATGAACGGACACCTGAAATTCGACATTTAGCAAAACATGTACGAAGAGCTTGACCTACATAATGACACAAATCCATAAGCTACAATCTATTTTCTTTGAAAACTTATTAATAACCATCATGTGATTAATTTTCTTACTGGTGTTTTTATTAGGCTGTTTGCACACTGATTGAAACACTAGTAAAAAATAGGTAAAAAAGTGAATAGAGTAATAAACAAAAGGATGGATAACATGCAGATACACAGAAAGGTGTATAGACAAAAAGAAAGTTAAAAGCTAAAAATAAAAGAAAAACAGTCTATAAATAATAGATATATACAAATACGAATGAGCAGGAAAACATATAGACAATTGGACAAATAGACAAACAACCCGACTGGTAAAAAGATGGAGAGATAGACAGGTAAATTGACTACCAAACAGTCTACTAAATACGTAGACGTATAAATGAATAAATAATCAGGTATATAAATGCACAAAGAATCAGAAGACAGGCATAATGTGTAATCATTAGGTAGACACAAAAGTTACAGCTTGACAAATATTTATTAAGCATATTGAAGTAGAAAGATATATACACAAGTAACAGACAGGTATATCAAGAGACAAGCAGAAAAATGGAAGTACCTAATACGATAGGCACAGAAACACATATAGATATGTAGATAGGCAAACAGAGATCAACAGAAAAGGAGAAAGTAAAAGCGAAATAGATAGATACAAACGGAGAGATATAAAGGGAGGACAGAAAGAAAGATGGAAACAGAAAAAGGGAAATCAGAGGCAAAGAGAAAAGAAGACAGTTATATGAATTGATAATTAGAGGAAAGAGAGAAAAACCGATAGACAATGGGTAGATACAAATAGAGACAACAGAAACAAATGGGCAGACAGAGCGACAGATAAACAAGCGGATAGACAGAGAATGGAAAGATCGGTACCGATATAGGAAGGAATCAATTGAGCAAGAAGAAACCTACTGGGTAATTGAAGGCTAGAAGTGATTAAACTCCAGTTAATCTTCTACAACAGCATCAATTTTGCATCCAGCGCCTATTCATTGCTTTATTTTCATTCTTTACATCTTTGTCTAAAAGTTCAGCTCACATGTACTGGTCACACAGGTAGTCAGCTGTCAGCTGGGTGAAAGCAAATTGCACCCGCAAAGTGTAGGTATCAGAAAACATGATCGCATGTATCGTACTCGGTCTGGGAGAAACAAAGGAGTGTCACCATACTGTACTCACTGTTCAAAAGTCAACGATGCGTACCGGTTAATCAGCATGCAACGATGCAGAGCATAGTTAATTCATATTCAAGGAAATTTGCAAGTTGCACGAAATTTTACGCCGCTCATTGGCCAACTCGAACTATGCATCCAACGAACTAACAGCAAAATTCACTGCGCCACTCCCCTCCCACCTCATTTCCGACAGATACATTGGCAGTCACCCTGAGTTAATGTTCAAAAGCTAAGAGTACGTACCAGTGATTCGCCGTGAACTTGAATTTGATTTCAAAGTATTTTGACTAAACTACCTCACCGATCGTCATAAAAACAAGAGGCTTTTTCACCTGGGAAAGAAATGTCGCAAATTTCTCCCGGTCGACTTGTTCTGACTGTTTGAAACTTTCGATGTCTTTCAGAGACTGGAGACACTCGGCAGCCACAAATGCTTCGATGAGGTTTGATCTGGCAATAACTTTGTCCCACAGTCTAGAATAAAATGCAAAGTCTCAACATTATTTCTATTCACTGTTTGGCATTCACCGTGCTTCCACCCCCGGACTTACCTTACGGTCACCTCCGGTGAAAATACGGTTCCAAAACTATCTTGGAGGCAACGTGACAGAAACTGTTCGCTTAACACCCCTTTATCGCGAAGTATGTCGCAGTAACCGGCGTCCATTTTCCTCAATCTCTGTTCGGTCTCTTTGACCTGAAACGAAAAAATCTTGGGTTGGTAAGAAGTTTCTCGATTCAAGGAGATCAAAGAAGACCGTACAACAACGTCTCGAAATTTTTACGAATACAGATAACTTCGCCCACGCCTGCTACTGTTGTTATCCTCAAAGGCTAAGCAAAGAAAAAGGGCAGAATTCTCTAATTAATTAGTGTCTAACTGGATAAAGTGACTCAGAGCCTAATGAACGATTACTTACGATAGGCACGCCTGAACGAGGATACTGGCATGTTAACACACATCTCAGCGAACTCACTTTCTTCATTGTGTAAAATTAATCGTAAAACCTTGGTAAAGCTACTCAAACTTGTCCTGTCCATCTTATGCACTAGACTCCTTCAGATTGCAGTTAGATGTTTCTTTCTTAAGGACACTGTGCCTGCAGCTAGCGAGGACTAAAGCATGCAGAAAATGTGATCCGGCACATGGCTCAGTTTCTGCAGAATGAAGAACGAGAAAAGCGGAATCTGCTCGAATCAATCCTCTCATATTATCCATACATTCTGAAAATCGCTTGCATTAACTTTCCATTCACCAATCCGTTTCCTCTTCACCATTCTTTAAGTATTTTGATTGCTATTGTGCATTATATGTACACTGCTATAACAAGGGGGTATTAATTGCTGAAATGTTCGTTGATGCTATTTTTACTTGCCATTCCAGTTAATTCAAGTAGTAAACAAGCAACTTAACCTTCGTTATTTGAATTTTTATGGAATATTGAGTGAAAACAAGTAGGCAGGCGTCGATATTACGGTTTCCCGTCATTTTCAGAGGAAAAAGCTGGGCTTTGCATCACAAAATAAACGATTATGCAGAGAAATGCAAATTAAGACCAGAAAGATCATACATAGAGAGCTGAAAATATGGGAGATTTTAGGATAAAGTAATTTACAGTGCTTTCCACACTGCTTTGTTTGGATTAGTTTGTATTTTACAAAGTAACAGGATCGTTCTTCGCTGAAAGGCACCTGGTTAATCCAGGACACGTATCCTTAATCCAATCTTCAATCAGTTTCGAAGGAAACATCAGGCATGTGACAGAAAAACAAAAGATAGCAATGAATAGGTTAATTTTAGACTAATAAAGAATGTCTTCCATATGGTATTTACAGAGAGAAAAATCTTTAAAGCATACAAGGCCATGGGCAAGCAAATGAATGGGCTTCTTCTGAGGGATGGGAATTGGTGCATTTCATAGCTCTAATAATATCCTAAATTAACTTCAAACGTTTTCAGTGTATTCCATTCAGTAGTAGACCCATTACCTGGAATCAGGAGATACAAGTTGCAATGTATCAGATTACCAGTTGGTTTCAAAATGGTTGCCTCTGAACTGATACATGAGTGATGTAATGACAAGCCGACCAGCATTTTTATTGTTTGTATCTGCATATCGTCAAACTACCGTGCTGTTCTTTGACTGAAGGATTATTGTCATCACGGCAAGGCAAGGCATCTCTCGAAACTGAGGACAAGGCATCACTCTCAGAAAGAGGGGTTGCTCAGCAGGTAAGCATAACTTAGAACCGAGAGGAACCAGGTTCGAAAATCGGTCAGATCATTCGCCATTCTTCCTTATGGGGTAGATAAATACGCGACACTCATGGAAAGGAAACGCAGTGGAAAACTCTGTGGGAAGATATTGCGCACTATGCTAGCTATTCTACCTTTAAGGTAAGGCACTTCTTGCTGATGGGGTGGAAACAGAGATCAACGCGCCACCAACAACTTCATGAAAACAAGGGTGCCTCAAATGGCTCCATCATGAATGCTAGCGACACTCCAACGATTAGAGCCTCATATGCTTTCCACTCTCAGCTCCTTGAATAGTTTCGAAGGAAAGTCTGAATCTTTCGTACGAAATAACGGACAATGACAAGTATGATACATCAGACTCATAGCTCAAGTGTCCCAAGGATTTCCAGCTGCCTGAAAAAAATACCTTCCAGAATCATGCCAGGGAAATTGATAGGTTTTTCCGGGCACTCCTTTGGAACCCTCGTTTAAGATTATTTCTTTCTAGATGTTTTAAATGTTTTCTGTAAAACAGGTTATCCAGTCTGAGATATGGAAATCTCAAATTACCAGTTGGTTCCATAATGCTTGCCTCTGTACGAAGAGTCGAGAGATATTGCGACACAGCCAATAGAGACTCGTCCTGTTGCTGGTCAACGTTGAAACGACATCGAACACCGCATTCATCAGCAAGTCCCACTGCGGTTTCTGTGAAACGCGCACCGTCTCTAGGTAGAGCTCGTTGCGCTCCAGAGCATACATCACCGGAATCGTCGAACGCAGGAACAACCGGTCGTCCGTATCCTCCCGGATTTTGTGCATCACCTGCAACGAGTGGAACAGCAGCTCGAACTGCTCCTTCCGCTGTTCCCAGACGAATTCCACCGATTCCTGAT